TGAGTTGAAGACCTTAGAACTGTCGTGCATGCGTGCTAAGTCGTTTCAGACATGTCTGACTCTCTGTGGCCCTATGGACTACAGCCCACCAGGCAAGAATACTGGAGTGGGTTGCCATGCCCTTCTCCAAGGGATCTTCCCAACTGAGGGATTGAAGCTGCATCTCTTATGCCTCCTGCATTGGCAGGTGGGTTCTTTATCACTAGCACCACCTGGGAAAGAACTCTGTCAGCACCCGATAAATCTTCGGTCATTTATTCCAGCCTCAGCACACAGTAGATGCTCAATGAATATGAACTAACTGAATGAATGGATGGATGGAAAGCCTGGATGAGAAACCAGAAGGAACACAGGAAGTGAGCATGGGACCACGAATCAAAGACCTAGATCTTCATTTCGGTTTATCAAGTCATGTGGGGGAAGCACTGGCAGCAAGGCTCAGATGCTGTAGTAAAATTTGAAAGAGACTGTGTGCTTATAGGGATTTTTAAAGTATATTATTATACCCTCAATACCGAAATCAGATTGATTATATTCTTTGCAGCCGAAAATGGAGAGGCTCTATACAGTCAGCAAAAACAAGACTGGGAGCTGACTGTGGCTCAGATCACAAATTTTCTATTGCAAAATTCAGACTTAAACTGAAGACAGTAGAGAAAACCACTATTCTGGTATGACCTAAATCAAATCCCTTATGATTATACAGTGGAAGTGACAAAGAGATTCAAGGGATTAGATCTGATAGAGTGCCTGAAGGACTATGGGTGGAGGTTCATAGCACTGTATGGGAGGCGGTGATCAAAAACATCCCTAAGAAAAAGAAATGCAAAAAGGCAAAATGGTTGTTTGAAGAGGCCTTACAAATAGCTGAGAAAAGAAGAGAAGGGAAAGGCAAAGGAGAAAAGGAAAGACACACCCATTTGAATGAAGAGTTCCAAAGAATAGCAAGGAGAGATAAGAAAGCTTTAAGTGAACAATGCAAATAGAGGATAACAATAGAATGGGAAAGACTAGAGATCTCTTCAAGAAAATTAGAGATACAAAAGGAACATTTCATGCAAAGATGGGCACAATAAAGGACAGAAACAGTATGGACCTAACAGAAGCAGCAGATATTAAGAAGAGGTGGCAAGAATACACAGAAGAACTATACAAAAAAGGTCTTCATGACCCAGATAACCATGGTGGTATGATCACTCATCTAGAGCCAGACATCCTGGAGTCTGAAGTCAAGTGGGTCTTTGGAGGTATTACTATGAACAAAGCTAATAGAGATGATGGAATTCCAGCTCAGCTATTTCAAAGCCTAAAAAATGCTGTAAAAGTGCTGCACTCAATATGCCAGCAAATTTGGAAAACTCAGTACTGGCCACAGGACTGGAAAAGGTCAGTTTTCATTCTAATCCCAAAGAAAGGGGTGCCAAAGAATGCTCAAACTACCACACAATTGCACTCATCTCACATGCTAGCAAAGTAATGCCCACTATTCTCCAAGCTAGGCTTCAACTGTCCGTGAACCGAGAACTTGCAGATGTGCAAGCTGGATTTAGAAAAGGCAGAGTAAACAAAGATCAAATTGCTAACACCTGCTGGATCATGGCAAAAGCAAGAGAATTATAGAAAAACACCTGCTTCATTGACTGTGCTCAAGTCTTTGTGTGGATCACAACAAACTGTAGAAAATTCTTTAAGAGATGGGAATACCAGGCCACCTTACCTGCCTCCTAAGAAATCTGTATGCAGGTCAAGCAAGTTAGAACCAGATACGGAACAACAGACTGTACCAAATGGGGAAAGGAGTATGTCAAGAGTATATATTGTCACCCTGCTTATTTAACTTATATGTAGAGTAAATCATGTGAAATACCAGGTTGGATGAAGCACAAGCTTAAATCAAGACTGCTGAGAGAAATATCAATAACCTCAGATATGCAGATGATACCACCCTTATGGCAGAAATCGAAGAGGAACTCAAGAACCTCTTGTTGAAAGTCAAAGAGGAGAGTAAAAAAGCTGGTTTAAAACTCAACATTCAAAAGACAAAGATTATGGCATCTGGTCCCATCACCTCATGGCAAATAGATGGGGAAACAGTGGAAACAGTGGCTGACTTTATTTTTGGGGGCTCCAAAATCACTGCAGATGGTGACTGCAGCCATGAAATTAAAAGACGCTTGCTCCTTGGAAGAAAAGTTATGACCAACCTAGACAGCATATTAAAAAGCAGAGACATTACTTTGCCAAGAAAGGTCCGTCTAGTCAAAGCTATGGTTTTTCCAGTAGTCATGTGTGGATGTGAGAGTTGGACCATAAAGAAAGCTGAGCACTGAAGAATTGATGCTTTTGAACTGTGGTGTTGGAGAAGACTCTTAAGAATCCCTTGGACTCCAAGGAGATCCAACCAGTCCATCCTAAAGGAAATCAGTCCTGAATATTCATTGGAAGGACAGATGCTGAAGCTCCAATACTTTAGCCACCTGATGCAAAGAGACAACTCACTAGAAAAGTCCCTGATGCTGGGAAAAATTGAGGGCAGGAAGAGAAAGAGGCAACAGAGGATGAGATGGATGGATGGCATCATCGACTCAATTAACATAAGTTTCAGCAACTCCAGGGGACAGTGAAGGACAGAGAAGCCTGTTGTGCTGTAGTCCATGGGGTAGCAAAGAGTCGGACATGACTGAGTAATTGAAGAACAAAAAATTATGTCCTCAAAGCAAGTCCAGAAATAAAATCTCACTAGTTTCAATGCTGAACCAAAACCAATAACAGATCATTCCACCAGAATATGTTAATTTACTACATCCATTTTTTTAACCAAAATAACCTGTCAATTATTTAATGTGACTTAGCAACTGAACAAGTGAAAAGGACTGAAGATTTAATTTACTATATTTGAGTCCATTGTTATAGCACCACTAAAAACATGCCAAAAGTTCAGAATTTAGATATATATTATTAAATATATATAATTCAAATGTTTTTGGATATACATGGGCTTCCTTTATGGCTCAGCTGGTAAAGAATCTGCCTGCAATGTGGGAGACCTGGGTTCAATCCCTGAGTTGGGAAGATACCCTGGAGAAGGCAAAGGCTACTGACTCCACTGTTCTGGCCTGGATAATTCCATGGACTGTTCACACCATGGGGTTGCGAAGAGGAGAACATGACTGAGAGACTTATTATATATATATATCACCCACATAAGCTGAAGCCATAGCTCTGTCCAAGTCCATCCAGCTGTATCTGACAAGTTCTGCCTGTTCTGGGCATCTCACCTAGAAGGAGACAGATGTGATGACCACTTGAATGATGGTCATGTCGATAAAGGTAGAGGAGAATGACAGACAAGCTGAGGGTTAAGCTGACGCGCATTCAATCTGTAATAGTTAGTTGCTGAGTACTGGGGTGTGGTCCTTCCAGGAGCTCCGTAGCCGCGCTGTTAGATCACTGACTCTCTCCACCTCCATCCATATGCCCCTCCACCCACATAATCTAGCTTCTGCCCCCAGCATCGCACTGAACCCATGCTGACTACAGAAACCGGTGACCGGCCAGAGCGCCGACAGCTTTGCAGATGTGAGTAGCCAAGGTGAGGTCACCTTGGGGAAGGGTGGGCTCTAGTCCCATATGACTGATGTTCTTATAAAAAGGAGAAATCTGGACACAAAGGCAGACGTGCATGCGGGCAGGATGCCCTGTGAAAACTGGAGCTCTGGTGTCCTTAGCAGAGCAACTACCATAAACTCTGGAGGTTGGAACGGGGGTTTCCCTGGAGGCTTCGTGGTCCTACTGACACCTTGATCTTGGACCTTTGACCTCCAGAAGAGTGAGACAATATAGTTCTTATTTGTTCAGTTCAGTTACTCAATCCTGTCCAACTCTTTGCGACTCCATGGACTGCAGCACACCAGGCCTCCCTGTCCATCACCAACTCTCAGAGTTTACTCAAACTCATGTCCATTGAGTCAGTGATGCTATCCAACTATCTCATCCTCTGTCTTCCCCTTCTCCCGCCTTCAATCTTTCCCAGCATCAGGGTCTTGTCCAGTGAGTCAGTTCTTTGCATCAGATGGCCAAACTATTGGAGTTTCAGCTTCAGCAACAGTCCTTTCAATGAATATTCAGGACTGATTTCCTTTAGAATGGACTGGCTGGATCTCCTTACTGTCCAAGGGATTTTCAAGAGTCTTCTCCAACACCACAGTTCAAAAGCATCAATTCTTTAGCACTCAGCTTTCTTTATAGTCCAACTTTCACATCCATACATGACTACTGGAAAAACCATTGCCTTGACTAGACGGACGTTTGTTGACAAAGTAATGCCTCTGCTTTTTAATATGCTGTCTAGGTTGGTCATAACTTTCCTTCCAAGGAGTAAGTGTCTTTCAATTTCATGGCTGCAGTCACCATCTGCAGCGATTTTGGAGCCCCCCAAAATAAAGTCAGCCACTGTTTCCACTGTTTCCCTGTCTATTTGCCATGGAGTGATGGGACCAGATGCCATGATCTTAGTTTTCTGAATGTTGAGCTTTCAGCCAACTTTTTCACTCTCCTCTTTCACTGTCATCAAGAGGCTCTTGAATTCTTCTTCACTTTCTGCCATAAGGGTGGTGTCATCTGTATATCTGAGGTTATTGATATTTCTCCCAGCAATCCTGATTCCAGCTTGTGCATCATCCAGTAAGAGGCACTTTGTTACAGTGAGCCCTAGCAAGAGAACACATGACCCTCCCATTTTCTCAAAGCTCCCCATTTACCCCGTCATGATACCACCGCCTCCAGCTATTACTGATTACAGAGTAGTTACTGACCAAGGAGCTGCCCCCTTCTCCGCAGTCCCCAGGAAGCAGGGCCTGTACCTCTGCTGAGTGTCACCGAACGCTGCGAGCATGGTCCCCAGCTGGCTCCCAAGACCACAGGGTCACCAACGAGGTGAAGGCAGCCAGGGAGCAAGGGCCTCCCGGAAACAGCCCCCCCAGCCCCCCTCGGACACCTACCGAGATGATGTGCCCCTTCAGGCCATGGGCCGAGTCTGCACACTCGATCACGGCGCTCAGCTGGGGGTAGCCCACCCCCGTCTTGGTGCGGGTGGTACACACGGAACCTGAATGGAGGAGGAGGGGGACCCCAGAGAGAGGTGGTTAGGACTGAGCAGGACTCGACACAATGAGCCTTCTCTCCCATCACGCAGCCACACCCCCATTTCCTGGGGGTGGGGGAGGGGGGCAGAGGCGGGGCACGGGGCGGGGTGGCCCCCGAAGTTCAGCGGAGGTGGCTATAACCACCGTCCTGGCCACTCATCCTTTCCAGGCCGCATCACCCACATCTGCTCAGGTCCGGGACACTCCCCCCTACACCAGTCACCATCACTCTCCATGACATCAGCTCCCTTGACTTCCCAACCTTCAACTCTACTCCTTCCCACCTTCCCTCACTTCCCACACACCCACAAGGGACCTTCAGACGCCTCCCATGGCCTTGAGCCTCCTTGACCTTCAACTTCTGTCAAATGACTCACTTCTCTAAGCCTCAGTGCCTCGCTTAAAAAGTGGAAATGAAAGCACTGATCTCATGGGGCTGTGATGGAGATGAAATGACATGAGGGGATGAAGACTGCCCGGCCTCCAGTAAGCCGCTGAGCAAAGGGGCCGGTGCCCAGGGCATGCTCACAGCCGCTCTCTGCCTTGGCTCTGCCTCTACACACACCAGCCTCCTGGTCCTCACCCTCTCCTGGTCCATCTCTCACCCTGTCCAGCCCAGCCACTGAGGTCAGCTTCCACTGAAGAACTCAAACCAGCCACCCCGATGCCTTCATTCCCCCTGACCTCTGCCCTCCCCATGGTCAACCCCAGTCCTAGTTCACTGTCTGCAGTGCATCAGCCCAGTTAGGTCCAGGCTGAATCAGACGGGCCTGTCCAGCACATCTCTGTGCCCAAGCTTCCCCTTCCCTCCCAGCACACCAGCGCCTGCTCCGAGGCCAGCCAGCTCAAGCTCTGGACTGTCTACCCGCCTGTCCCCTCTTCTCTCCACCCGCCCCACTTGGCACCCCCCAGCCTCACTGACCTTTCCTTTCCTCCCACCTCGGGGAACCCCTGTACGTGACGTTCTGTCTCCCGAGCGCTCCCCTCTGCACCAGCCCCCTGGTCTGGCCAAGCCTTTCTCATCTTCCAGGCTTCATCTTCAGTGTCACTGCCTCAGGGACATTGCTCGTCACAGCGGCTCTTTTCAAAAAGAGCATTTAAGTCATTATTTGTGTAAGAACTGAGGATCTGTTTTCTCCGCTGGAGGGTAAGCTCCATGGATGTTCACTGTTGTCGATCCAGCGCTGAGAACAGACCTTTGTGCATAAGGCCGCTATAAATAGTCACTGAAAGAATGCTTGAACTCAAGAATGAATGAGTCACATCTCTGTCTCCACGCTTCACCACTCACTCACTCACTCCGTCGCTCCTGCCTGTCTGGGGGTGTCGCCTATGGGCCAGTGTAAAAGCTGAGCGTGACCTCCTCCACTCCCACCAGACTTGCGCAAAGCCTCTGCCTCCTCTCCTTTTCCCCACCATCACTAGTGGCTTCCCAGCTGTCCACAAACCTCTCCCGACAGGTCGAGAGCCAAGGCTGTATATATACTTTGAGGCCTGGCTCCGGAGGGACACCGGGACCAGGGGAGCCGCCTTCTCCCGCATCCAGTTGCAGGGAGGAGCCATCTCCTTCTGTCCATCCTCACAACACGGCCACTCGCTCCCTGGGGGCTGTGGAGCTTCCCTCCTGACCAAGGCACCCCTGCCCCAGACACGCACTGTGCAAGGCACAAGTGGAGCTTTACAACCTCTGGCTCTGGTTCAGAATCGGCCTTTCTCCTTTCCCACTCCACTGCCAGATCCTCGAGGGCAGGCAGGGACTCAGCTGCAGTGGCCTGGAGTTCTGCATGGGTGAGGGATAAGGCGGGGGAGTGGTCCTGATGAACCCCCAAGTTGAAAGGAGAAACTGGGTACCCACTTCCTCCCAGCCCTGGTGGCCATGGGGCACATTTTTAATGCTTTTTTCCCCCAGGTCCCAGGAGTTGTTCCATGAGGAACCTTATATAATGCTGTCATCTAGATGGCCAAAGTCCACTGTTTTTATGCTCACGAGTTCATGAAATGTAAACATCATCTCCAATCGGTTTATAGAAATGACTCCAATACATCAGGCTCAAAGAGAGCTTCTTACTCCCTTTGGTCACCTCTGTTCTAAACAGACAGCCTGGGAGGCACACATTGACAGCAGAAGGACAATAAATCTTCGGGGGAGAGAGACTGTGTACATAGAGGACATATGGGAAGGAAGCAAGGGCAGCTGGATACTCAAGATTACATGGAGAACAGCCCTAAGGAACAAGAAGATGGTTTACACAACCTCACACCCTGTACATACAGCACCCACCCAGCTCTATGGCAGCTAGGAGACACTCAATACATTTATGTGGTGAAATAGGTGATCGGTGCATGCTCTACTTTGAAGGGAGAGAAAGAGTCTTCCTGGTCTAACTGTCAGCCTATTTGACTCCATCACAAGCCTGGTCTGTTACAGCCCATTCTAAGTGGAGGACAGTGCCCTGTAAGCAAGAACAGGCCTTAAGCACTGAGTTTCTAATAATGACAGACACTCGGTAAAGACCACAGCTCTATCCTCTTGCTCAGACTATTAGAGACTGTTGGGTGAGTGGCAATATCAAAAGCCCACCCTTGAGAACCTCGCTGTGTGTTAAAAGCTTGGGGCCTGGGCTTCCCTGGTGGAGCTCAGTAGTGAAGAATCCACCTGCCAAGGCAGGAGACACAAGTTTGATCCCCAGTCCAGGAAGATCCCACATGTTGTGGAGCAACTCAGCCCATGTGACTCAACTATTGAGCCTGAGCCCTAGAGCCCGGGAGCCCTTAACTACTGAGCCCATGTGCCTGGAATCTCTGCTCCATAAGAAAAGCCAGCACGATGAGAAGCCCCTGCATCACACTAGAGAGTAGCCTCCATCTACCAAAATGTGAGGAAAGCCTGCACAGCAATGAACACCCAGCACAGCCAAAAATAAACAGATACAATCATTTTTTTAAAAAATGCTTAGGGCCTTTTACAAGCCTACAGGGCTCTCCTTCCCTAAGAGTCTCTTCCTGCCGATCCTGGTCCCTCAAGGCTGACGACTGTGCCGGGTCACAACACAACCATCTTTTCTGCCTCCCTCTCATATTAGATTATGGTTTGCTTCCTTTTTTGGTAGTGTCCTCTGAGAGCATGGTATTTGTTTAAAAAAAAAAAAAAGAAAAAGCTTTGCTGTTTTTCTATTCCCAGATGAAAATGTATATCTCTTTTCCTCCTCTCCCATTTTAGTGTTTGGTTAATCATGGATGTGCAAGGAGGAATTTTTAATATGAAGAAGTTAAAAATATGGAAGCTCATGCACCTGTCTGGCCAAAAGGGAAAGTCAGCATCAAGTGGCCCCGAGAGAAATAGATCTACCCAGAAGAGGGGAGATCTATTCTTCCATTCAGAATGCCACTGGTGGTCCTGGGAGGGAAGGCCTGGGAGGATGCAGCAAAATCTGAGATGGATATGGATCAGCTGAAGAGCCAAAGGCGGTAACTGCCTGGGCCATGAATCAAGTTCACACGTGGCCTCAGCTGCATGCTTATTTGCAATGTTTGGGGTCCCTCAAACATTCACATAAAGTGGGGTCATTCACATCCATTGACTGTCCCCATGAGCTCTTCATCCCTCACCTTTCCCTTCAAGGTGAATGGGATCACTCATGAGCTCACCAAGACCTTATCTGAACCAAACCACATTCAAGTTCATTCAGAAATTCCCAGAGGCATCAGAAAGCAGTTCGGTGATATTTCTAATCAGGAGCCTCTCCTGACCAGAAGCTCAACAATACTTCCAAAAGAAATGTGCTTTAAACCTGTGGCTGGATCATTCCTGAGGTCCCTTCTGGGCATCTCTGGTCCCCACAAGTGCTAGACCCCAATCCTCCCCAACAACACACCCTTCGCTGTGCTCCCAGCAAGTCTTACCTGGTCCAACTCCCACTTTGATGATATCTGCTCCAGAAAGAATAAGCTCTTCTACCATCTCTCCCGTCACCACGTTCCCTGCCTGGGATAGAAAGAATACAGTTTATGATCAGGAACTACTCTGGGAGGAACAAAGGTGAGTGATGGGGGAGCCCCACACCTGAACACAAGGAGGAGCTGGTTCTGAGGCCATCAGGCAGCCAAGGGGACAAAAGTAAAAAATGGGAGAAGACAAGGGACCAATCCCTGAATCAACTTTCAGCCAATTGGTGGCTTAGGGTTTTCTCCAGGTCTCCTTTCTTCTCAATTAACTATGATGGTGTGATCACGCACCGAGAGCCAGACGTCCTAGAGTATGACGTCAACTGGGCCTTAGGAAGTATCACCACCAACCAAGTGAGTGGAGGTGATGGAATTCCAGCTGAGCTATTTTAAATCCTAAAAGATGATGCTGTTAAAGTGCTGCACTCAGTACGCCAGCAAATTTGGAAACAACCCTAAATAACAACAATTAACAAGAACACAGAACTGGACACCCCAGGCTACCTCTGGGTGAGCTGACAGCATGAGGAATTCACAGAACTACATAACTTTAGAACTCCAAGAGACCTTAAGACTTTCTAGGTCAGGCAAGACAAACTCTTACAGGGAACCCAAATATATAAAATAAACACAATGAAAAAAAAATAAACACAATGAAACACTCTCTGAGCTGATTAGAATGTTAATTGTGGTTCACAGTGTGTAAAACCCCTAGAGAACTTCTATGGAACCAATAGAGCCCAGAATTAGGGAACTACTGACCACCTCACAGCTGGGGAAATACCTGGGTATCCCATCCTAGAGGAAATCAGTCCTGAATGTTCATTGGAAGGACTGATGCTGAAGCTGGAACTCCAATACTTTGGCCACCTGATGCCAAGAACTGACTCATTCGAAAAGACCCTGATGCTGGGAAAGATTGAAGGCAGGAGGAAAAGGGGACGACAGAGGATGAGATGCCTGGATAGCATCACTGACTTGATGGACATGAGTTTGAGCAAGCTCCAGGACTTGGTGATGGACAGGGAAGCCTGGCATGCTGCAGTCCATGGGGTTGCAAAGAGTCAGACACGACTGAACGACTGGGTTGAACTAAACCCATCCTAGGGTCAAGTGGTTCCCACTGAGATATGAAAAGGCAGATGAACCCTAGGCACCGTGGGGACTGGAACATACTTCATTTTCAGAGCAACATGAAACTGTGGGTCCTAAGAATAAACCCATAAGCCAGGAAGTGGTAGAAACTAAAAACCAGAAGGATGCATCTGGTTTGAAAACAGTGCATGTTCTTTCACTGCAGGAGCCTGGGAACATAAAAACAGCCCTTTTTATTACAACTCACTAGCCTGTGGATTCTTCAGTTGGTACACAGAATACTTGGCAGGATGCCTGTCTGAATTTTCACAACTGTGCAAAGTCTTATTTTGGGCAGTGTATCCCTAACTCATACAACTTCATTTTTGGCATTGAAGCCCCAAGTGTCTTTCCACTGAATTGATGCCAAGGAGAATTTTTCTTTCTCTGCCCAGACAACAGTGACTTTTAACTTTGTATAAAAGGATCTTCGAAAGGGGTGATGAGGATGGCTCAAAGTTACTTTAATCCCAACAGCATTTGACAATGGAAAATGATAGCCTAGAGAAAGGATAGGAAGATATGAGAATACAGTACATGATAAAGACAGCATTTCATGTCACAGAGGAAAGGAACAATATTTCAATAGACATAAATATTGAAATTTGGGGGGAAAGGGAGCTTTCAGAAACAGATATGGATTATCACTCATACCTTGCACCAAAATAAGCTTCAGATAAATTAAAAGTTGTCTCCTTCCAGATTTAGAGGAAAGCTTTGCGTACTTATAATACACATACAAGTGAAAAAACATAAAGACAGATGTGTCTACATGAAAGTTAAAAACCTGCATAAACACACACGCATACATACAATCAACAAAACTAATAAACAACCTGGTGGAGAAAAAGATTTAAAATTACGAAGAAGACTAACATTATAAGAGCTTTTCCAAATCTACAAGAAAAATGCTAGCACCGCACAGAATAACTTCCGAAGGATATGAACTAATAAGAGAAATAAAAGTGGCCAATAAACACAGGGAGAGTGTTTAACCTTCACCAGCAATCAAATTTCAATGAAGCTATCAGCAAGGTACCACTTTTCACTTAACAAACTGTCAGTGATTATAAAAACTAAATGCTGGAAACAGACACTCATTCTTTGCCAGTGGAATGCCTACTCCAGTACAAGTTTTCCTAGAAAATAATTTGCCCGTATACAGAAATGAAAAGTATGTATATCCTTTGATCCAATAACTTTCAGGATTTTCTCTCAAGGCAATAATTATGGATGAGGTCAAGGACTTAACTACAAACATGTATCACTGTTAACAGTGCAAAACTGCAAATATATTCCCCCAAATGGTAATAGTTCAACAATCTCTGGCCAACCCATGTGATGGTTATAAGATTGGTTTGATGCCATGGGAAAATGTTTAAATGCTTTCAGTATGTTAGGAGAAACAGAAGGAAATAGTAAGATCTCAGTTTTGTTAAACAAGTATATGTATAGATGAAGACATATACCAAAAAACATGTAAACATAAAAAAACATAAAAAACATAAAACATGTCCTGGTGAGGGAATATTCTGACTTTTATCAATAATTCCTTACAATTTCTTGGATTTGACAGTAGAAACTGCATTACTTTTACAACTGAAAGTTATAGTTTCTGTTTTCTTAGGGTTGTTTTTTTTTTTCCTCCTAAGCATACAGCTCTGAACCTGAAAAAGAACTTAGTAGGAACCCAAGAAGGCCTTCCCTGGTGGCTCAGCGGTAAAGAACGCCTTCAGTGCAGGAGCTGCAGAAGACACAGGTTCGATCCCTGGGTCGGGAAGATTGCCCTAGAAGAGGGCATGGCAACCCACTGCAGTACTCTCCCCTGGAGAATCCCATGGACAGAGGAGCCTGGCAGATACAATGCACAGGGTCGCAAAGAGTCAGACACAACAGAAGTGACTTAGCACGCACACAGGAACCCAAGAAATGGCACGCCAAGCTCTCATTCTTCCTCCCTGGTTGACTTGCTAAGAATTCAAAATAAATTTTACAAATAAAAATTAATTAGAAGTTAAAAATAAAACACCTGAAGAAGCTACTCGAAGCTCCCTACAAGGTTTCACTGTCATTGTGGACTTTTCTCTCCATTCTGGTACTGCCTACAGACCAGTTTAAAAGGGTTCACTTTATACCAAATAAGTCAATTCAAGTCACCTCATATGGACATAGCAAATATAACCATGTGAGGTCAAGGTAAGTTTAAAAGTGTGGAGGGAGCTGACGCCATTGTAAGAGGCCAGGGGCTTCTCAAGGTGTCCCCACGTCCCCCGAGCTGCCGCCGGGGCTCCTGAACCAGAGGCAGGCACCTGAGGGCTGAGCATGGATAAACCCAGAGCGATGACGAAACGCCTCCAGCCCGAGGACCACACAACAAGGCTGCCGATGGCTAGGAGAGGACGGCGAGTGTCCACTGGCAGGAACAAAAACCTATCCAAGTTTGAAACCAAGACGGGCAAACACAAAAGCTGAAAGGAGAAGTCAAGTTCGGAAACGCGAGAGGCTCTGGGAGTGTGGTTAGGTTCTGGGGGAAGCCCAGCCCACAGCGCAGGCAGCCAGCGGGCTCGGGCTGGAGGGTTAGTTGGCCGGGGATGATTAGCGAGCAGTCGGCTTATCTTGACCAGAAACAGCTCCTGTGGGGAGTGGATACCACAGGCTCAGAAGGTGGCAGCATGTCCGGCTCGGTCACGACCGGGGCAGCCAGGACAAACAGAAGCTGCAGCCCCCAGCTGGGTCCCAGAGCAGACAGGTGGAGGTTTCTGTTAGGCCCCCTCTCCCCAGGGAGGCCAGGCGCCGTCCGGGCACCACCTCCTGATCCTCCGTGTCCAGGGCAGGTGGGAGGGGCCAGAGAACACACAGAAAATGGACAAAACGAACATTTTACGTACTTCTGTATCATTTTTAAAAGGCCTCTAGGGGCCTGTCTGGTGGCTCAGTGATTAAGAATCCCCCTGCCAATGCAGGAGACGTGGCTTCCATTCCTGGTCCAGGAAGATCCCACAGGCTGACAAGTGACTATGCCTCTGCGCCACAAGTACTGAAGCCTGAGTGCCCTAGAACTCATGCTCTGCAACGAGAAGCTACCAGAATGAGACGTCCGCTAGCTGCAACTAGAGAAAAGCCCGTGCAGCAACAAAGACCTGGCACAGCCAAAAATAAAAATTTTTTTTTAAATTAAAACTTTTAAAAATAAATTTAAAAAGTCCTCTGGTCAAAAACCATCCCCAATTCTTCCAGTTCTCCTTTGGACCCAGACATCTATGGCAAGATAACTTCAGAAAGCTGGGCCTGACTGACGGCCCTCCCACTTACTGGGTAATTTTAAGAATATCACATCCACTCCGAGTCTCCATTTATCCTGCTATAAAGTGGGGCGGATCAGATCCACCTGTCCTTGTCACTGGAAGGTTTACAAAGGAACTTCACCAATATCCATCTCCAGAACTTTTTCATCATCCCAAACTGAAATTTTGTACCCGTTAAACAGTAAGTTTTCTACCCACTTTTTACTGGCTCTTCAGAAGTCTTTTGCCAAAAAAATTCCTTTCTATAGAATGAGAAAATTTGGAAAACTCAGCAGTGGCCACAGGACTGGAAATGGTCAGTTTTCATTCCAATCCCAAAGAAGGGCAATGCCAAGGAATGTTCAAACTACTGCACAACTGCACTCATCTCACATGCTAGCAAGGTAATGCTTAAAATCCTTCAAGTTAGGCTTCAACAGCATGTGAACTGATAACTTCCAGATGTACAAGCTGGATTTAGAAAAGGCAGAGGAACCAGAGATCAAATCGTCAACATCCGCTGATTACACAAAAAAGCAAGAGAATTCGAAAAAAACATCTATTTCTGCTTCATTCACTATGCTTAAGCCTTTGTGTGGATCACAACAAACTGTGGAAAATT